TAAACTAAAGGTCTTGGGTACAAGCTTCTTCTAATAAACTATAGGTTATTTTAAGTGCTCTCTCTTTTTACTTAGTATAAGATACCTTGTTTCTTATACTAGATTTGGAGATAATTGTTGTTTTTGGTTTTGACTAAATAAAAATTGCAGATCAGTGGAAAGAGTTGATTGACTAACTTTCATATAATAATAATAATTATATAATAATATATAATTATTATTATTATAATTTTTTAGTACTATATAAGTGCGAAAAATACCCAGGTGTGTGATTTCAAATTTCAGCTTGAATTAAGCTTAATTCGGGTTGAAATTTAAAGTAATACTTCTGGGCATTATTTCACAAAGAAAATTTACTCAAGATATATTTGCATTATTTAGAATACCTCTTAATAAACAATATTTTTGGTTTTAGTGCAGCCGGGTGGAAGTTTGACTCATATAGAAAATAAACTTTTTGCTCTGGAGAAGGCAACATATAGTTGTCCGTAACTAAAAACTGGGTCAGTAAGCATTAAACCAACATGTTAAAATGTCTGACTCTGTGACTTGTTAATTGTTATAGCAAATGCAAGTCAAGTAGAAAACTGAATTTATGTGAAATTAAAAAGCAAAAGATTATTAGTTGGCTGAAGTTTAATTCTTGGTAGTAAAACTCGGCATCCAGCAACATTCCCAGTTATAAGCTCACAATTTAGAATATGATCATGTATGTGTCGCACGATCATTCTGGCACCATTACAAAGACCTTGGCTAACATCTAAATTATGTAGTAGCATTACTAAGGCTCCTTGTTTGAGTGTTAAATGATGTGGCAGCAGTCCATTAGAAGTAAGTGAGTATAGAATTCTTCTGGAAATTCTGTTGGGTCTTTACCCTAATCACAAACTATTTTATCAATGCTAAAATAATTTTTTTCTTGTCTAGACATTCTTTGAATCACTTTATTACAGACTTCAAGGCTTATTTTATTTGTTGGGTATAGGATAACTGTTGAAAGTAAGATGGCCTCATCTTCATTTTCCAAAGCATTACCAAAAATGTCTGTTACTAAATTATTTGTCGAAATACATTGTGCTAGAACTTCTATTTCATCATCAACTAATAAAAGAGTTCTGTTTTCAAGATGAATAAGCCACTGTGCAAATTTTATTTCATCTGAATTTGCTCTCATATTTTGCTGAAGATGTAAAATGGTAAAATGTGGCCAAAGCCAAGAGTTTTTAATACTTATTTTAACATTTGCAGCTCTTAAGCCTCTTCGAAGTACAGATAGTATTTGTTTAAAATCTCCACCTAGTATCATTATTTTATCTCCAAATAGCTGCTCAGTTTGCATCAAATCTCAAAGACCGATCTCAATTACTTCTAAAGCTTGACAGGAAGCCATCAATGCCTCGTCCCAAATAATGACCTTTGTATTTTTAATTAGTTCGGCATCTTTACTGTTGGCAGATATAAGTATTTGTGAGTTTGTATCTAAATTTAAAGGTAGCTTAAATCTGCTATGTATAGTAGTTGCTCGTGATAGTAAATTTGCAGCAATTCCTGTCCAAGCAATAGTAAGCAGTTCAATCCCAAGTCCATGCAATATATGATATAATGTTTGATATAAAAATGTCTTCCTGGTTCCACCAGGACCATCAATAAAGAAGTATTTATCATGATTATTTGGTTGATTAACTGCAGCTATAACTTTATCAGCTATAAGCCATTGAGCATTATTTAATTGAGCATACATTCTTTTACTAGCTCTATATTCTTGGTCTCTGTCAATTTGTTTCTCATTATTAAATGTATCTGTAGCGATAGGTATTGGTATATGAAAATCAGTTTTAAGAGATTTTTTAAATTGTGCTAATTTCTTATTGATATCTTGATAGGCAAGAAACAGAGAGACTTCAGTACTATGATTGTGAAGCAAGTCTTCATAAAGATATATTTTATATTGATTCCAAAGCAGCAAAGGATTGCTAATATTACTCCAAATTAATATGGTCGCAAATAATTGTCTCAATTTTCTTGGCATTTGCCACTGAATTGCTTCATTCATATATCTATTCCATTTGTTATCATTATTCAGCAATTCTCTCATTAAAGCTGCTTTGTGAAAAGAAGTACATATATATTCCTAGACAGTTTTAAGTTCTTTAAAGCCAGTAGCACCAGGAGTATATAAAAGCAAAAGTCTGAGATAGAATCATTCTATATCTGATGATAAAACAGTATACATTCTACTAATAATTTTCTCAATATGTTTGACTCGTTTTTTTGAAATTTGTCTTGCATCTATATTATATTCATTTAATTTAAACCATGCAGTTAGCATTGTATTTTGAGATGATAAGGAATTTAAGGCTTGAACTTCGCTTCTGAGACTAAAATAAATATTGTGTTCATCGGGCAAATGCACTGGTAAGCAAATAATAGAATGCGACTTATTTTGCATTTTGTATTCACTCAACCTCCAATATGCTTTAGGTGCACTAACATAATGGAAATCAATAAAAGCTGAAATTTCATCATAGTCAAGTATTTGTACTTGGTTACCTTCAATAGTTTGTAGTCTCAATTTTGCACAATTGTAACCCTTAAAGATGTACTTGTAAAGATACTTAAAGCTTTTCACTAAGGAACAAATTTCAACATTAATATAAGCCTGATATTTTAGCAGCAAGTAGAGATTATGTGGCACGATCCATTGATTGGTTACTTCATGTCCTCCAACAGTTTGTTCTGCCAATATCTCTTTGCCGATATTTTAGATATCCATTATCATTTACAATAGTCTCTTGGCAAGCCTGATATTTTTTTAACTATTATATGCTAATATAATACTATTTTTATCTTTCTAAGCTGTCTCTTTAATAGAAGTAGTAATATTTTGTACTAATTTTTTTAAAATTTGACCACTAAGATCTTTTTGTGAAGATAGTTTTACTAAAGGATAAAAAAATTTAAAGAACATTTTTATTTCAAGATTTTCTACTTAAGAGAAGGTCCAACTATATAAAACAGTAGCTTTAAGCAAAAGTTGTTCAAAATGTCTTTATTAATCATTATTCAAGGATTAAAAACAATATTAGTCAATTGTATTTTTGAGTTCAATGATGATAAAGAAATCTTTGAAATAGTATTACTATTAGAACTTTTTGAAAAACTTATTAAAATATATATAATTAATATTTAAAAAGTAATTTTTTATATATAAACTATAATTAATAATTATTAATTAATAATTCACCTATTAACTGAAGAATAGACAAAATGTGATGTCTTTTATATAAAACTTTTTTTATTAAGTTAATGTTATATGCCCACTAATTAAAAGTTGTAGAGCTTATCAAAACACATCTAATGGTGGTTAGATCATCCAAATCGGCCTAGTAGATAGCAGATATTTTCAAAAAATGATTAGCTGACTATATAAAAATCTGTGATAGAAATCACATATAAAAATTACTATC